CAATTTAATGCTATTTGTTAAAACAATTAATAATTAATTTTCAAACAACAATTCCGCCTATGACCGCAATAATCAGGAAATTCTACAATAACCAAAAAGAAGACATCCGGAAGCACATTTTCAATCAGAATAGAAAACTTTATAAAACTGATGGCGGAGGAGTTGTGCCGTGCCTTCGGTTCCCAGGGGCAATGCAGACAAAATATTATCTATTGTAATTAATAAGACCTTGTATGGCGTGAATCAATCAATTGCTGCTTTTGATGGTGATTGGGTACAGCCAAATGAAACTCCGCCATCTCTCATTTTCCCAATTAGTCAGAAAGGGCGTTAAGGAAACGTTGAAATTCAAAATTCATGATGTACGTAGGTACTTATTTTTTGAAAATAGGACATTATGATTACACAATTCATATACGTATGCTGTATATTTGACTAACTAGCGATTAAAGTGAGGTTGGAAGAAGGCTAAGTCATGCTTAAGTACTCGAGAACGAGTCCTTAAATTTAAGATTTTCAAAGACGAACTTAAGATCGTGTCATCGGTTGGTGCAATCCGTTTTTGCAGTTAGGCTCGAACTTAACGCTAAGCATAACCTTAAGTCTTTCTTAAATGTTTGGTGCAAGTGGGCATTGAATGGAAGAAAAGTTGGACAATGAAAAGATGGCGCATTCAGATCTTTCATACGAATTTTCGTTTCTCTCTTAAGTATTTGGAAAAAACTGAAATTTTCGAATTTTTACATATTTTTAAGTTAATAGAAAGCTAGCAAAAACCGACTGCACTTTCTCATGGCAACTTTAAATCAGCGTTAATACCACCTTATCAATTTTTGACGCGATGTTTCGTTTTTAAGAAACCCTCATCACTTACATATTTTAAATATCTCTCTGTCGTTTTGTTAGCAAATTCTGAAAGCCCGGATTATTCTCATTTCAACGATGTATAACATAATGACATTTATTAATGTTTTTATCGGCTTTTTGATAAATCTTCGAAAAATTGTAAACATGGACCTGCATTTTCAACGCTGGTACTCACAATGTAGGATATGTATTGAAATTCACTTGAAAAAACCATTAAATATTTATTAAAAAACAAATGCAAAAATAATCTCGACTCTATAACAGGTCTCAGCGTTTCTGGCGTCACACTTTCAAAAGCTGCAATAACATACGGAGATCTTCAGTTGCAAAGCTTAGCTTATAAACATAACTCTTGATCCATGTACTTCCACAAAAAGAAATCGAGTGGAGTGATCGACTGACCGTGCTGGCCCGAAAGCCTCAGAATAACTGCATAATGTCTATGTTGAAATCGAACCAACAGATATACTGTAACCCTTCTTGAAATGTGGGCAGATGCACCGTATGCTACTATGTAATGTACTTTATGGGATGCTTTGCAGCATATCAATAGTTTTTCAACCATTCAAAAAGTATGTTTAAAGCGTTTATCTGCATGAGCTACAAATTATTTTAGGTTTACTTGATGAATCGCAGTATTATACCAGGAGATATTATAAGAAGATTAGAGAAAGGCAAAGAGACACAAAGGGGATACTGTAAAAGCAACAAACAAATTGCCGCGGTACAAATTGTAGGTACAGATAAGGTACATACTCATAGGTGCATAGAGAAACCGCACTATTTACTGAATTAATTTTTGTGTAGGTGATTGAGCATGTCTCCAGTGATCGGCTTAAAAACGTTAGACCATTTGATGTTGATGATGCTGTTAGTTGTGGAGATATATTTGGACGCATTGAAGTAAGTTGAATTGAAATAAATCGACAAAAACAAGGTGTTTAATAAGGCGAAACATTCCATGCATGAGGTTTAAGTATAAGCACTTAGATCTGTTTCTGATCAATATACCGAAAACGCTCAGTTACCGATCTAGAAGCTATCGAAATTGCCATTAAAAAATGTTTATTAATATTACAGGGTGTATTGCACAACAAACTATACGGGTGTTAGGATTAAAATGTGTTCGTCAGTTTTAGCAGTAGTGTTGACACAAATTTCAATTTAAATAAGAATATCTTCTGATTTGTTTACAATGCTTTTACAAAACCTATTTCGGGAAGAAAAATCCGTTGAACAAAATGTGCTTGCGAAACGGCGGCAAATTTTTATCAGGAATTAATTCAATTTTTGCCAAGAAAATTGTATATGCCTTTTACTGCCATTTTCTTCATACTTTATACATCGAAGTAACTTTAATATATTTCTGATACTTGTCCATGTGCCGTGATGGCATAAACTACCTGATTAAAAATTAAACAAATAATCTAGTTTATTTCGTCCGTTCACTGATCGGAAGTGACTGCCAGAAAAAATTGCAGATAAATGTTCAAAACTTTTCTCTTTTGGTCTTCATCTAAATGCAATCAGAATTCTAAAATATCAACCATGTTGCAGTGCCAAGTTTGATCTTAATAAAAATACAAAGAAGTGAAATGACTTGGAAAAAATGCCCTTGGTTATCTGCAATCATGCAGTATTTTACCGTATTTTATGGCAATTGCTTATTTTTCATATTACTATTATTGTTTTAAATGTTTTCCTAACTTTATTACGTATAAAATCGTATTATTATACGTACGTAAATACGGTTTATTATTATTGTATTTATTCGGGATTGATAAGTTTTGTCGATACTGAATCAGCACGGTGTTTGGAGAGTTCAAACTTTTTAATATTCATTGGGATAAAAATTCATACTAAACGCTGCATCTGTTTTCAGTATACTTTAGGTCCAGTTAATAGTACTAATTCAAACCTAACCTTTAGAAGATTGAAATAATTTACTCATAGGAGGGATCATAACGTCATCCAAGGATAACAAAATTCGGTCGAAAACTACGAAAATAAATCAACTGACATCAGTATTAAACAGATTATTACATAAAGAAAAAAATACAAGATCAAAAATATCGTTGGTTACATTGGCTTTGAATAATTTGTTGTCTTTTGATTATTAAGCGTTATATTCAGCTTATTTGAGAAAACTCGTTTTTAATCAATTTCGTAAATCATCTACGACCTCACAAATTTTCCAGAGCATTGACCAATTGGTCACAATGCGATCAATTGATGGTTCTGTAGTTGAACTTCTCACCAGTATGAATAATGATTTTGATGATTATTGGTTATCAAAGAGGGGTGGATTGCTTTCAATGGAAGTCTACTATCCAGGTCAGGAAGTGGTATGTTTCAAACCAGCGTTTTGTACATATCCGCACTGTTAGAATATGTTTTTTTTTCTATTTTCAATAGGTCGGTGTTCCTGCCAATTTTGTCCGTCCCACCTGGATTAAAAAAACAAAGACCATGAAACGGAATATGCAACAAAGACAAAGATTCACTATTCAGGAGGTCAATGATGCCATGATAGAGGTTGCTTTGCACAGTAATATTAGTGGTTATTCTCATATTTCAGAAATAATGAATGAGGATATCAAAAAGTGGGTTTAATACTGGTTTCGTATTCCTGTACCTGAAAGCGCATTTTTTAGGCTGCAAGTTTTGGAACATCCAAGCGATACCGCTCTGGAATTAATGGATAGGCGATTGTTGAAGCTTAATTCCCATGATATTCTTCTGAGAAAAAAGGACTGGGTACGGAAATTGTCAATTATGCATCGTCCGGAGGCGATTCGAGTTCGCCACAATCTCAATTGCAATTCGAAAAAGTAATTAGAAACTACACCTGGAAAAGTTACTTTTTGCGGTTTTTGGTGATTTTTATAGTAATTGTTATTTTTACTTCAGCACTATTCGAGTGCCTCGTATTCGTAGCTCGTCGCTGCTGTTTTCTCCATCACCTACCAAAATTGACTGTGATAAACCTCCAGTGTTTCCAGGCGTTGACGATGCCGAAGACGATTGGTGGACGGAAGAAGGTGAAGAATCTGAAGAGGAGAATACTGAGTGTACGTATATTATTGATCAAATATATTACAACTGCGCTTATTTAATGTACCAGCCACTATTGATTTTTTTCCTATTACTCGGAATAAAGATGTAGTCAATTTGTTCCTGTTGGCATTGGAATGAAAAAGATGCTTAAAAAAATGTCATTGAAAAATTGGAATTTCAAATTTGTGAAATTTACAACACTGGGTTTCTTGGTAAAGCGGTTAAGAGATTGATAATTTAGGTGGAAGTAACCCTTCAAGTCAAGCGACTAGCGTAGTAATGCCCAAACCTGTTCCAAGAAAGAAACATTATCCACCTAGACCCTGTGAACTTACTGCTGGAAACACATTGGCAGTTGAAGTGGTTTCTGTTGAATCAAAAATAACGGTCGTATGGCAGGATGGCACTGAAGAAAAAGATATTCCGTCCACCCAACTGTATTACAATATATCCATAGATGATCATGAGTTCTTCCCTGGTGAGTGGGTTGTGAAATCCTCAGCCGGTAAAGATTCATTTGGCGACGGTAAACATGGTGTTATTCAACGAGTAGATTATATGGAGAGAACTGCCACAGTTAAAGTAAGTTTGAATAATCCGTTTTATACTCGGGTTTTGCCGTAGTAAGCTGATACCGAATTGTTCCATTTTCTAGTGGTTTCAAACTTCGCAAGCTGGAAAGCCGCCGCTATTTATTAATAGTGAAGAGTTGAGCGTATACGATTTAAAAAAACATTTTAAATATATATACAGGCCTGGCAGTATAGTGAAAGCCAACCCTTCCGTGGATGGAAAGATAGGAAAAGTTATTGATAGTTGCATAGATGTAAAAAACTTTAAGTATGCACCTGAGTACAACTGATTAATGAGGGTTTGTAGGGGTATGTGATCGTTGAATGGCAACAGGGGAAGTTAGAGAATTGTTGGCCGGAATCCATCGAGCTTCTTCCAGATAGGTCGGATTACGCGTACTCGGATTCCGATGAATCAACAGCTGACTTAGTATGTATTTCAATTAGTCTATTTCTGTTGTACACTTTTATCAAGTATACACATTTTTATGTTTATTTGAATCTCTAAAAATATTGTGTAGGTTTCATGGGAAACTGAAAGTATACAATCATATGCAGGCGGCGATCTGAGCGATGAAACAGTATTACAAAACATCGCAGCAAGATTAGATTTTGTCCGATCTAGAATCGTCTATCTAAAAGATGTATTTAAAACTCACACCATTTCAGATAGTTTAGCTGTAAGTATGGCTCATTGTTACTACGATTTATAATTAATCATAATTATAATAGTCACTTTTTCTTTTTTAAACTTCAATTTAAGTACCACCCCTTGTTTATTCAGTTGTTATATGCTTATATCTGACAATTTTGTTTTCAGATTCTCAAAGATTTACTTACGGTGTATGAAAATTCAAGTTATTTAGATAAATTATTAGGAACGTCTTTTTTTAGCTTGAAGAGCTCACATTTTCAGGTAATACATAGAAGTTTAAAGTTAAAAGTTTACATCATTTATCAGGAAATGATTCCGTGCTATTTAATTACTTTGATTTCAACCTGTTTCATCATTTTTTATAGGCCTTGTTGATGCAAGCCAAAGAAAAAGCTAAAGCACAAAACATCGAACTTAGAGGTCGATTATTTTCAATTGAAAATGGAGTCAATGTTACGAAGAACAAATCAGCAGAATCGGAAAATATAAAGAAAATGATTAAATTGGAAAACAAAGTAAATGCGGAAATAGAGAAACAAGGAGCAAATAAACAACTCAAAGGTTAGAAAATTTTTGATGCAGGTTTGTCGAATTGGAAAGCCACCAGTTGATTTGTTAGTTAGGTTGATGATGTCTTCTAATCAACTTTTTCGATGCTTCGTTGTCATCTCACTAATGCATTTCTAAGTAAAAAATGCTATCTGTACCTCAAGCAGGTTGTTTATTGTAGGTCAAGAAAGCCTTACTTCATTAACTGAAAGTATTTTTTTAATTCAAGTTGTTTGCAAACAGTGCTTTAAATTGTGTGGATAATAAAATAACAAAACTTTTGTTAGATTCGACAGCGCCGTCGACGCCCGAGAGTCTAGATGATTCCGACACTTGGCAAGAAAATTTATGCGTGGAGCTTTTGTCAACTTTAAAACTAAGAATGGATTTAACTTATGCTGAAATAATTAGCCGAATAGGGGGCAGTCAAGCTCTAAGCATTATCACAAAGGTAACTTTCAAGGCTTAAAATGTATTTATCAGGTGACATTTTCCACAAAAATTTAACTGGACTAGAAGTTTAATTAGAGATGGTTGGTTTAATACAGAAGTATGTGTAAACATGCTGTATTTTTAATGAAACAACTTTAATTTCACTTTAGGCAACTGAAAGTATTGCCACACCTCTGATTTCCACGCCTTTACCAAGCGTTCCTGCCACTCCAGACGAATCTGTATCTATAACAAATTCCCTCAAAATTAAAAATTCAACATCGAGTGACAAATTGATGGACGTTCAACTCGATAAAGGGGCTAAATGGTATATCAGCGTAGAAGAAGCTCCTGTAACTCATCACTATTTCACTTCTAAGTTTGAACCAGGGGATACACAGAAGTGCGTAAAAAATCATGAACAATGAAAAGTTATAAATATTTTTAGCCAAGAATAGATGAAAATATGTAGTCTATTGTAGATTTCTCAAATCTGTCGTAAAAGAATACGCTTTGCTCAAAGAGTCTCTACCGGCCGATGTCTGGGTATGCTCTTATGGAAACAGATTGGATCTCTTGAGTGTCATGATTCGGGGACCAGCTAAAACTCCTTACGAAGATGGGTTGTTCTTGTTTGATATTCAGCTAAGTGCTGATTATCCCCGATCTCCTCCTTTGGTTCATTACATCAGTTACAGTTCAGAGCGACTAAATCCTAATTTGTATGTTGAAGGTAAGATGATTAAGATTTTTTTTACGTCCAACGAATTGAAAAAGCTGTTTGTTGGAAATATTGTGGAAATATGTTGTTTACATATTGATTTTGAAATACCTCTGAAATAATCTTTATTAATAGGAAAAGTATGTGTTTCACTTTTGGGCACCTGGATGGGTAAAGGCACAGAAGTCTGGGGTCCAGACAGCACCCTTTTACAGCTCATTGTGTCCATTCAAGGCCTTATTTTAGTTTCTGAACCGTATTATAATGAAGCTGGCTATGAGAAGCAAACCGACTCTCAACAGGTTAGTTAATTATCATTAAAATTATTTTTCACTGTAATTAAATAACGGTTTTTATTAAAGGGATATGAAAACTCCAGAACCTACAATGAACTCGTCATATTGAAGTTGGTTCAAAGTATGACTGAGCTGTTGCTTAATCCACCTGCCGTGTTTCACGAACAAGTACTGAGTCATTTCGCACAAAATGGGGAAAAACTATGCCAACGGTTAGAGAGCTTCTGGAGAGATCAGGTGGGTTGTTCTATAAAATTTTTCTTTAGTGATAATAATTTCAAAGTACATTTATACATATTATTTTATGGTTTAAATCAATGATTTATATCGCTGTTCTCTAAAATCAACAATAAGCAAAAAATAGAAGCGTTCGAATTATTTTTATTCTAAGACGTTTTCTAGTCGTAAAAGTTATCGCTGATGATTAAATTCGTCAAAATTTGCATCAAAAACATTTTAATTTTCTTCTTCGAGTAGATTTACATGTATTGATTTTGATAAATGTAATACTGATTGGTTTTTGCTATGGATTAAATAAGCATATTTCCTATTAAAGCATTATATGAACTAGGCCTGGGTAACACTGTGTCTTTAGACACTTTTGTGTTGATGCCGCTCTGTGTGTCAATGTGTCCTAACACCTTGCCTCTTACGACGCGACACCTTGAACAACACTTAGCTTTTAATCTAATTTAAGATGGTAGATACTGACCAAAAAAAAATTCCCAACTGTATCTGCGATCAAAACTTTACGACCAATGCGTATTGCCAGTAACCACATACGGCGCTCAAACATGGACTGGAAATATCTGCGTTGTTAATAACAATTAATTTTGTTTACTACTTTTCCTGTACTCCCAAAACACCCCCAGAAAACGCCTCCAGAGGAATGCCGCCAATTTCGAATCACCCTATATATAATGTATATCCCGAAATATGAAGTGTGGCGCGCTGTATCGACACGGCAAGCAGTATCGGTATCGCACGTGAAAATCAACTGTGTTACCCAGGCCTAATATGAACATATCCAGTAATGCTTGCCAATTATTAAGAAAAATAATTTGAAATAGTATGAGAACAATACTATCTTTAAGTATATCTGAAGTAAAAGAAACTTTATTATTCACTTATGTTTTGCCTGAATTATTTCAGGATCCTCTAAAGCCCGATTTTCCTCTATTGCCTGTTAGCAAAGGCCTAATATTGTCACTATCATCGGCTATCAAGCATTTTAGGGATGTCCTAGAACGTAAAACGAGTTCAAAATCGTCCGAAGCTAATCCTGTTTCCAGCAGTGAACAAAAGATCGAATTATAACAATGTTAATTTGAAATTGTTTTGGTGGGTATCAGTATTGTCCAAAAACAAGTTGGATGCGAAACCTAATCATGTTAAAAGCAATAAAAAGCGAATTTAAATTTTGCTTTGTTCTTGAGATCAATATACCTTTTTTAAACTATTCCTGGCACTTGCTGTATACCCACTTATTTTTGTGAGTTGTAACTAGTTTATTTAATTACTCGTTTATTTTAAATAAACTGGTACTTGTTAGGCTTAGTTATTTTTTAGGCGTTTTCAAGGGAAGAAAGTTAGTGATATATTTTTATTCAATACGTGCTGTATTACCTGAAAAGGAAATTTATGTTATTATGCAAACAAAAATGCTTTCCCGAAAAGCATCCTCTCTACTGGGACTTGAACTTAGATAGTTTTTGGTATACATTAGACGGTAAATAAATTATCTGCATTGTTCACGCTCATAAGTTAACGTCCACTCAAAATAAATTGCAAAACTAAACCAACATCAAGTTTTTGCCGTTGATTCTTTAAAACGAGCTGTGTTAGAATACGTACTATAATAATTATTTTGATATTTATTTATTTATTCGCTTTTTTATTATTATATGGCTTCCTAGATTTATTATAAGGTATTATTTTCGTATGCATTTTTCAATAAATTTTTTATTTCAATTCCAACTGAAGTTTGAAATGTTTATTTTGAAAAAATATTTATTCAAATTTGGTGCAATAGCACTTTTGATTCATGATAACTACCAATTTTTCAATTTTAAATAAAGTTAAATCTTGCACAAATATTTCGCAAATTGTCGAAATCGATCTTCCGAAATAATTAGATTTAACAACGCTTGTTATGTAGCCTTGAATTATTGTCAATGAAACTGTTATACTGTTCTTATTTGTTGTTTTATTTTATACCTTAAGTCATCTGAACGGACCACTCCATAAAGGTATATTAATTAATAAATACATGTATGTGGTTTAATTGGACATCTAAAAGTTTGCCCACCAAATCACGATAAGGTTTTAATTATTCCTTACTTCGTTTTAAATGTTCTTTAAATGATGCGCACATTTTTGCAGTTTGGTATGCAATCTACTTAAAATTGCATAAGATTCGCGGGTACCATTTTGTATGTCAACAAACTTTAATTCTTGATTACTTAACGGCGTATTGGCGAGTACCAAGGATACTTAATAGGGCGCAGATAATTAATGTTTTCACATTTCAAAATCGATTCGATTTCAATTGCATTAAATGGAGCCCCTTTTGCTTGTAATCCTAATTTCAAAAGTCGCGTATAATAGTCGGTTTGCCCATTGTACCATTCACAGAAATTACATTTTTCTGATCACTTAATTAGAGAGAAATCATCAATTGCATTTGATGATTAATTGGTCGATTTGCAGTGGAACTATTGCGTTTACCTCCAAATCTGGGAATGAGTTTTATTCCGAGATTTAGGCAAATTTTCATTTTTAATTGCTTAGCAAATCAAACACAAGCAAGCCCTTTTTTAAAATTGTTCCAAATATTTTATAATGCGTTTATCTTGATTACACGCATCACTTCAACTTGCGATAGTTTGTTTATTTCCTCTTGGAAAAACAGAAACAATTAATGAATTACATAGGAATTACGGTATTATGTAATAAATGTTTCCGCATTTTTAGCAATTTGTTACATTGTTGTTTAACAGTTCGATTGACTGGATAAAACAAAATTCTCTTTATCGAAAATTGCCTTTCCGCGTGCATATTAGGGTGTGCAAATAAGGCAGCTTTTAGGAAAATGCAAAGGAGCGGCCAGGAACATTATCGGCACATCAATGGATTGGTCATAAATCATTTAACTGAATCTGATTTCATTAAAGCCGCCACTGTTTCTGATCGTTTACATAACATACTAATTATTTTAAAAATATGTTTTGTTTATGTAATGATGTCTTTTTTGTCTACAAACTCCAAATTATTTCTCAGAAATTTTCATAACTGATTGATTACTTGCTTTCTTTCTGTTATGTCGTCCAAATGTATCAAACGAATTGCCTTATCCGCTTCTTACGTGATGCAAATTTAAATTTTTAAATTAATATTTGCATATTTGCACGGTTGTTAACAAATTACGCTTGCTTTCATAATCGAGTTTGGTTTTTCGTGGCTTTCAGCAAGTATATTGATAATGATAGAAGAAGATTAAAATGTTGAGTAGTACCACAGAGTAATAATGCTTAGCTATACAGCTTAGTACAGGCAATGTACCAGAAAAAACGTTCAGCCTGCCCATCAATGCTTCATTAAAAGAATGCATTCAATAACATTTATACCCATGAAAGGTAAATGAAGAGAGTTTTGGGTTGCAGGTATTCTACCGGACGGTAAAACCAAGTGATGAATTAAAAGCATGCAAAGTATCAAGTCCCGAGCGATTTTGAAAATTATACTCTCTTGAAGAAACACTATTTTATTAAATTTATTTGAACTTGTGGACTATTGCATTTTTGTAATCAACTATTTATACCAATATTTTGAAAATGTTTTTGGAAGTAAAATTTTGGTTGGATGCATTAATTTATGCGCTACTAGTTCTACTCTTTAACCATTTTGCTTCAGGAGCTAAAGGATAATAGTGTATTAATTATTCGTTACATTGCAGATAAGCATTTGCTTATATACATTTTTCGCGGTTGCACGAAAACTCTCAGTCTCTACCACGACATCCGCATCCCAAGAAGTTGAGCTTGTTGGCTTGTTTGCTGATGACTGTCGCGGTGGACAGCGCACTGTTAGCCCCGGTTTTCAGGTGATGTTCTGTTCGTTTGTAAGGTGAACGTGATTGTTACGACCGGTTATTATTGTGATTTGAATTTTTTACCGGTCAGTTTTCACTTAACCCATCGGGCACATTCAAGGTAAGTCCCTTAGGCAATGTTTTCCGTTTATTAACAGCATTGAAAATTTCCTGTTCTTGCCGTATACTACTTTACAGGTCTGAAGACGACTCAATTGTTTCAGTTCTACAGTCATGAATTATGTGAACGACTGTGTTGTGCTTTTATAAATTAATGCGAAATATATGCAATTTACAAATTTTCTGTGAATTAATTTTGTCTTCGCATCTATCTTAAATACTTTTTGTTGCTTTACTGCAAGAAAAGAGAACCGAAGGAAAATTGCTTTTATATGACCAAATGCTTAAAAGCGAACTGCTGATATTGCACCAGTTGGTATTACTTTCCGGCTTAAAAAAAATGAAAATTCTACTTGTTTAAGAAGATTTTATCGAACAGCAAATAATTTATTTTTAAATAATATATCAGCGCCTTTGGCTCAACGTGCCTGCATATAGATGATTTCATGCAATCAAGTATTAAAATGATCGTACGCCTATTAAAACAGACATTCAATTATTGTTAATTAGTCATGAAAAAATATAGTGCGAGTTGTTACAATACAAGCAAAAAGGTAGAGCGGTGCAATAGAGGTAAAATAAAGGAGATGTCCGAATTTCAAATCCATTTTTGGCATAAGGAAAAATTTACTCCATTCGGCAGGATTTTTTCCTTATTGCAAAATTTATTTGTCCACTTGTGCCGCGAAAAAAATCCTTCATAAATTATTTTCTTTATTCTTAGAAAGAATGTCCCTAACTAATTTTCTACTTTGACTAAGTTTAATAGGCTATAGTTGTTTGCCTACTGATTTGAAATGAACATTAGTATAAAACAGCTAGATTTTTTCAAATAAAAATTAATGTTTGTTCCATAATTTATCAAGTTTTATTCGATTTCAAATAGTAAAGATATTGCGGCTCTTGAATTTTAATTTTTTCAATTCTCGGATGATCTATTCTTGGAAAGAATGTACCTAATTTAACTAATTTCATATTCAATTTCAATGACATTTTCATCTACATTATTTTTAGGGTTCATTAGTTGTTTGGCTACTGATTTAAGAAAACCAATATCAAACTGATATAATTTTTATCCGAATTGATGATGTCGGAATATTCATAAACTTTTAATCGATCTCAAATAGTTAATTTTAAGATTTTAGTTGATTTCAAGATATTGTGGTTTTTGAATTTCGATTTTTCGCTCTTTTATCTCTTCGATTTAAGGCTTTAGTTGCACAATTTGGTCGAAATTGAGCTTGAAATCGTTTTTGATTCTTTGATTGCAGAGCACAAAATTTGGTGATAATTGAAGAACCAGTCGGTTTAAAACAAATATGAACAAGAAGAAGTTGGTGTGTACACACTGGATGAAATTCAATCAACATAAACAAGCTTATGTAAAAAAGTGTGTATGTATGTATAAATAAGGCCTTTTTCAATTGACGTAATTTGACGATGGCCCTGATGATGATGTAATTGTCGAAAGCGTTTGGCCTTATTTATACATACATATACACTTTTTTACTTAAACTTGTTTGATTGAATAAAACAAATATATTTAATTTGCTGAATTTAATTTAATTTTTTAATTTTACTGTTTTGTTTCAAGTTCGAGTGTAAGAATGTAGTAACAATATTTTTTGAAAAACAATTATAGAAATATAAATTAGAAGTAAAAAGAAAATAAAAATAGTCAGCGCTTTACATCTGAATATGCCAGTGTGTTCATTGTTCTGCTTTTTTGTTACATTTTTCTCATTTACTTCCTCGTATCTTCTCTGTGATATTAGCGAGCTTATTACATATTTATTTCATTTTTTTACTTCTTTCTTTTAGAATCTTAAAATGGTTACATAATATAACTTTTTTGTTTTCCTACTAAAGATGAACTTATTTTCTTTTTAATATTGTATCCGAGAAGTGGACAAGTTCTTTCGAACAATTCAATATTCTTCAAGAAAGTTCTTGTTCTTACAATTTCTCTTGAGAAAGCATAGTAATATCTGCAAATTGGAGAATTCTATGTATTTTTGCGTGTTATTCAACCCACTTTCTTATTTTTTTTTAATAGGTGTCGAATCAGGATTGACTTATTATTTGATTACAAATCAGAAGATAAGTAATATCGTAGGATGTATATTACTAACATTTTATAAAAATATGGACATTAATTGTACAAAATATTATATATGTAAATAATTGTAGAAAATAAGTTGTAGATTTAAAGGTATATAAGAAAAATTTTAGTGAAAGTTTAAAGGAGCTTATAAAACCTAAACTATTTTAGAAATATGAGAAAATTTTAAATATAAAACATTTGTTTCTTGTCGTCAATAATCTGTCTTTTAATATTGATAGTAGCCGGTTTATATTTGGTTTATAACAACTTTAAAATTAAGGTTTATTTTATACCTTCATGTATGTTTGTGGTAATTCACATAGTTTAATTAATTTTTGTTGAAAAAATGAAGCAAATTTAATGAATTTAACTCTTTGAGATCTAAGAGATCAATAGTATTTGATTTGCGATTTACATTTGTTAGTTTTATAGCAATATTTTTGTAATTTCGGTTTTGTCAAATTTATTATGAACTTTAGATGGCGACGAAAATTAAGTAGCAGTTTCTGTTTCAGAAAATTGTCCTGCATACCCATCTGCTTTCAACAAAAATTAAATTTGTCTATTAATTATAATTTTTATTGACTGAAATTTAACTCTCTTTAGATTAATTACTGAAAACATCTTGAATATCAAGTGTCTGCTAATTAAGTGGAATTAGCCACAGCTTAAACTGCAAAAATGCAGTAAAGAACAGTAATAAATAATCTGTACAAGTACCATATCAATCTGATAAAAAATTGTTATCTGATACTCAGCTGCTGGAAAGTAATCGAGCTTTGAACCAAAATTGCGATTATGAAACGACCTAGGCATTAATTGAACAGCAAATAACACTAAAATCGATAAAATCAGTTGATGGGTAGCAAACACTAGAAAAGGAACAAAACACGTTGAAGCCCTATAATTGTTTTCTTAGTTTGGCGATAAGTATTAAAAATAATTAAATGTTGATTTTTGCAATAATGATAAAGCAATGAACACTTTATTTGCAATTACAATTTAGTGCTGAAGTTGGAAAAATTACACAATTTCGACAAGCAATTTTTTATATATTCCACTTTTTTGCTCAAAACGATCTAGATCATACCGACGAACCGTCAATCGATGCTGAAACAAATGTTCTATTAGTGGAAATGAGTAAACATTGAAATCTAAAAATCTTTTTAAGCTTGTGAACCAATTCGAAGAGAATTCAAGCAGGAAATTCTTATATCTAACACCGTTGAGTAAGTTTCAAATAACAAATCACAATATCAGAAATTCTTTGAAGGCCAAACGCAGATTTCATAGTTTTTATGGAAAATTTCTCAAGTTTGAAGTTGGTAATCATACATTTCAGTATGAGAAAAGAAAAAATTTCAAGCCAAAAATGCGAACTAACAGACAAATAATTTTTAGCTTCGAAACCATAACATTGGAGTCAACTCACATAAAAACTTCGTGATATTTTTGGGAAAAAATCACGGAATAAATGATCGGAAATACTGATTTGCTTAACACATTATTATGTAAGAATGTTGCAATTTTACCTTGGAAAATATATGTTATTGACATTACGCCTGTTTGAGTGGGTTTTATGGGTTTTAATATTCAGCTAAACCAATCCTTTTAAATGGACTCGAGATCTTTTGTGAATAAAAAACATAGGTACAAATTGTATTTTCCTGTTGATACTTATTTTTCTACAATTATCATGCAGTTATGTCCCTAATAACAATTTCCTCCAATTGTGAATATAAAAACGTTCAAGGATAGATCTCAAAAAGTTTTATTGTATTTAGTAAACATGAAAAAGTTGCCAAATGTGGTAATAATTAACCGTGCAAAATTTCACAAAAAAAACTAAAGCTGTCGACATTATGTTGTGTCAAATCTATGAAACAATCAGGAATTCCGTTGTTTAGAATAAACGATTACGTATGATAGAAAAACGATTCGTTGATGCGAGATTAAAGAACTTCTAAGCGTGACGTTTCGAATGCAATCAGTGCAATCTTGTATCCTATGGATTACCTTAGTACAGTGTAAAGGATTAAACTGAATTGTTTACGCAAAATGGTTTTAAAAGAGACAATTCAATATAATCTAATTTACTGTAATAAATTTGATAGATGAATCATAAAAGTAAATTCATAAAGAATAATGCTGCGTAGAAGAATGTACTGAAAAATTGCGAAACCCAGCGTTTTTGGACCAATCGGTCAAGATTCTGAAAAGGTGCAGCAATCCAAAGTAATCCGTTAAACCAATGGTAAGAAAACATCGCAAAAGAAGCTCCACAGTTGAATACCTACTCAGAGAGGAAAATAATCGCTAAATACTCAGAAATACGGAATTATTTTAAAAAATGATTCCAAAACTGAAGATTCAAAAAATCCAGTGATAGTTAAGAAGAACTTTTGATAAATTAAATAATTTTTTTGAGAAAACCGCAAATAATATAATTTTTTTGCATAACCACTGCAAGATGAGAATCAAATAAAAACTGGGGGAGACAGACACACAAACAAGTCGAACATCAAAATGCGTCCTAAATCATTCTCTAAAATGTGATTACATTTGCCTTTCCACCCAGTTTAGACAGTTCATTCGAAATTTGCTTTGGAAAAATTGAGTTAATATTCCTTAAACCTTATAATTTTTTTAACGGACAGAATTGACCTTTTTCCTTACCGTAACGGCATGAAGAGATTGACACGAATAGATCAGGAAGTCAAGGGTAAAGGTAGATTGGAATTTGATATTTTGAGAAGACTTACACGCGATTGCGGTTCAGCTCTGCTTAGTAAATATTAAATGAAATGACCTTTCCTGTGAAGGTTCGATGGGGAGAAATTTACAGTAATAAATCGACTTTTTGATTAAGGCCGATGGGTTTCTGTTAGAAGTTCCCATTAGAGCAATCAATAAATGTTTAAAATAACACCATAGTGAATTGAATTGCTTTTAACATTTCCTGTTTGCGTTTCTTTGTTTGTTTGAAAGACGTCTGAAGATGAAAGAAAAGAAAAAACTCAGGAGAAACTTAATATGTTCTTTTATTTTTAATCCATAGGAGACATGGAGACATTTTAAAAATACTCCTTAAGCTAGCAAGTTTAGTTGCGTCACACTCATCTACAGATATGAACTTTTACAACTTTTATAGAACTTTTTTTCCAGTTGGTAGGTAAGTGATTTGCATTTTATTAATTAAAATTATTTAAATTTAGTATTCCTGTTTTATATCTATTTTCCTTTGGAAAAACCGTAATTCTATTAATTCCGAAAGATTTTCGGTTCCCTAACGTTTTCTTACCAAACCAATTAATTAAAAGCAAATTACACATTTAATCATAAAATTCAAAAAGTTGTATCATTATTCAAGACATTTTCCGAATTTCTCCTCAAAATTATTTCTTCCGAAAAAAAGCCAGTGGGATTTACTTACGGTTTTACTACCTACTTACTTAATTCCATTAGTAATGTCCGACTTATTGGGCATACAAAATTGTTTCTTTTCAGAGCAAAACATTAAATTGACCAACAGTTTATGCTGAGGGTTATTAGTAGATATAGATTTTATTGAAAAAAATTCAAAAATTTCATTTAGTTATCTAATTTTAGTAAAGTAAATAACTATACGGTCGTACCAAAGAAAATTAATTTATATTTAGATTTAATAAAGAGTATTATACAGGGTGTCTCGGAATATGTGGGCATGCTCTCGGATTTGTACAGGGGACGTTAAAAAACCATGACAAGTTTCTACAAAACAAAATTCCAGTGGGCGCTCTTACGAAGATACAGGCCTCTAAAGAAGCCATGTGAGAACCGATTTAAAAAAAAATAACTTTTTTATTATAACTAATTAATTATTTTTTCATACAATGAACAGTACATATCATTGCTCATGCATCAAGTATTCTAAAAATTATTTACAAAAAATCGATTCTCAAATAGCTACTCTTTAGAGGCCTGTATCGCCGTAGGGGGGCATTCTGGGATGTTTTTCATAGAAACTTGTTATATGTTTTTAACGTCCCCTGTACAAATCCGAGAGCATGCGCACATATTCCGGGACACCCTGTATAGACTTGAATAAACAATAGAAATCCGTTTTTCTGATTTCTGTTTTGACTCAAAATCAAATCTTTTTACAGTTTTGGAAGTACTCATTTTATTTTTCATCTTTCAGATCAAAATCATAATAATTATTATTGTGCTTAGCGGGAACGAATCATGCTTAGCGGGAACGATTGGTTAATTATATCAAAGAAGTCGGTGAAGTCTTAAAATTGCTTAACGCTGTAAAAGTTTTTCTCACAGTTTTTTAATGTTTAATTGAATTGAATTTTCGGAGTTAGAAATGTTTTTTAGTATTGCAACAAGCAAAGATGCGCGCATTTTGGTAAAGACAAATTAGATCGAATAAAACCAGGATTACCGTTTGCAGCAAGGGGAATAGACTTAATAAATAAATTACTACACTTAAAGCATTTTGCAAAATACTCTGCAATATTTAAATCCCTTCAAATATTTTTAGTACCTTCTAGTGGTTTTCAAATTTTTATGTAAATTTTCTTTTGTAATGTAAATTAAACTAAAAGTTTACATTTTTTTAAATTTAATTTAAAAATTTTACCTATAATATAGAAATAACTAGATTGTGGGCTACAGCAATCAAACACTGATAATATTCCATGGCATAAATGGCTTAAGAAACCTGAACAATGTTATCTGATTCTACAGTATCTAGGTCTTGTACACACCGCCTGAATAAAACATATAAAAACTACACGGTTTACAATTTTTTCCATATCAAATATGTTAACTATAATATGCAAATTTAATATACATATACTTCATATGTATTAGAACTTGATGTCGTTGAAAATTATATGTGCAGATATGACGCTTGAATTCCTCCAGATATCATCTTGTTGGCACAATAAAATGGAAATTGTAAGCCTTGTAGGAGCTTCTCAGTTAAAGGCTGAAAATACTTTAATGTACTTATTCAGACAAAATAATTCTGATTACATACTTTAAGATCTTCAATGCAAACCGTTAATGGTAGCAAAATAATGTAGAATCCCGCACAGAAGGTAGCAACAGCAAAAGCCACGAGTATGAGGACCATCAGCCATAGAAGGAAAATTATTATTTTTGCCATTTTAGTAACTAAAACAGAAAAGTTATTCATGTTTCCAATGCTTATAAATGTGCCTAACGGCTAGAAAAACACATTTGAAAATATTGTAATTAAGTATATGTATAATAAACCACAAAAAATCAGACGGTTTTAGAACTTGTTATATTCAATTATGCTTCTAGAGCTATTGATTTCTAAATTTTTATTAGTTACTAAAGTTAGTAACGCAGATTTAAATAAACGTTACTGTTTTCTGCCGCAATAACATCCAGCATTACAAACGTTCACTCTTATAGTTTTGCAGAAATTTCAAAATGTACTTTGTTGAATAATAGGAATTGAACGCCTTCTAGGCTTAAGGAAAAAAGTAAACTTACATTAACACATACATACCTGGTTATGCTTGATAAGTTATATCACATTTTCATCACAAAACTTATTGAAAAAACGCTTGTTCGAGCTTAACTAAAACCAATCCGACAATTATACACGTACTTCTTTATGATATTTTTCATCACATACCAAGCTAGGCAATGTAAATTAAAAGTTATCGACTAACCCAGCAATGTGCAGTTACGCTTTGTTTATCTTTAAAACAAAGTAAACTTGTTTATACGTTTCAGATAATGTAAAACCTCAATCAAGTAATGTGGTGTCATGCTTCAGAGGTGGTTCAACGCGAATAGTTAATTTAATTTTTATTATACTTTGCCAAAAATTTAATTTGCCTTTTTTAGGTGTAATTGTAGCATTTGCATTCCTAAAATTTATGAACTTGTTAATTAAATTAATTGAAAATATGCAGATATTTAGACTTATTACAAGACATTGTGTTCTATTGAAATGTTGCAATTTCAGGCATTTTTGTTACTGATAAATAGATATCATTGCATGGGTAATTTTGACGAGAAGGGAGTTTAGATTTCTTTTTCCAAGAAATGGGGAAATTAATTTATCTTATATAGTTATTTAAACAAATGCGAAACTCTCTTTTAAAACGTGACTTGCTGTTTTTTTACAAACATAAACATTTTTTATGTTTAAGCTGCTATGTAAATTGTGCTGTCCTTTTCGAATTACGAATGAAAATTTTGAAAATTCGATATGATTTTTGAAGGCAAAGAAAAATATAATAAATAAATTTATTATTCTTTCCTAGAATCGATTGTTCGATAGCTCATTTAAATGATTTTAAAACACACGTGAATAATGATGATTTAGTTACTATAAAGGAAAAATAACAATCCAGTTACGAACATTAATTGTCAATAAACATGCTCCCAATAACATCCGAACGTTGTGTTCTATAAGAGTTTTATGTGGAAGCTATAGTAGAAATTCAAGAAATAAGCAGCATTTTTGCAGATATTTTCTCTCATATTAATACATTAATTGTGGAAGGCTTTGATTTCCAAACAATCGCAGACGTCATCATATTTGTTTACTCATCAAATTTAAAATATATTTAAATGGTCCGTTTTCAAATGAAAGCCCTGTTTACTAATAATAATGTTTTTTCTTAGATTTATCGTCTGGTTAATTTAGTCTGCTTAATCGTCTTATTTGAGACCAAAAGATTTTCTTATTAGGGAGTGAACAAAATTGAGTTTAAAAAAAACATCTGAAAAAAGGGGTTTTCTTAATGATAAAGCTTGCACTTTCAACACTAGTTTAAATTGTATCAATAGGGTTTTTCCGTTGCAATAAATATAGTTTTATTGCAATAAGTAAATCAGTTCAACAAAACTGAATATATTTTATGTCCTACTTTACGATAAATTGAGAAACACCCATTTAAATCTTAAAACGAGGCAAACCATCCACAACAGTGTCAAAATCTATTTTTAAACAGCAAAACGGAACATTTGACGACATCCAAGAGAATTTCCAATTTTCCGATTGTACTGGGCAATGAATAGTGGTTTAATGCAGAAAACTATAAATACAAATTTAATGGGTTTCGCCGATTTGCTAGACTCGCAAAACGTTCTCATAAAATTCGATAAAAGTTCTTGCGGTTAGGGCTATAGTGGAAGCATGATAATTTATATGCACACCTAAATGAAACAAGGGGTTCTAACGATTTTATTTACAGTTGTAAAGAAACATTACCACAATAGTTCCATCAGGAACATTGAATATTCAACAGTTCATAAAAATATATTTTATTAGTAACTTCTCATAATTAATTAAGTACATCAATAGGTGATTATAATAGCAAAAAACCGAAAATTACGTAATAACATTTTCGATGGAAACGGGCTTGTCGTTTTGCTAGAGATTACGGTTTTTTCATTCATCTTGCCATATCTATTTACAGTGTGATAAGTTAACTCATAAAATCAAAGAATTAAATTGTTCTTTTATAAGATAATTGAAGTACCAACTTTAAGAGTATTGTACCAGTAAAAATAAAATGCGCTTATAAGAATCCTGATATGAAAGAGAAACTTGTGTAATTAGAAACAAAAATTAAGAAAATATTCTCGCTGTTATGGGAAAATCAATAATTTAAATAATGCAACTATCTGACAACTTTCTTAAATATTGAAATGAGTAATTTATTGTTTTCTCTTATTTCTTGAATTTTGTCCATATTTACTATTTTCTTTTACATTTAAATAACGGTGAATGAACTTAACTGTGTTGTAGCTCAATTTGAACCAAAATCTGCAATAACTTAAGTATACTGTATTAAATTATTCTAAATGAACACATGTTTTTTGGCAAATACATTTTCCAATACATATGTGGTTAAGATACATAATCAGTTCTTTAGTAAAGAAGAAAAACGACTTAAATTATAGGGATGATGATCCCATTCCTAAGGAAATTTGTACAACTTCTTCGTTGAGTGATTGTTGATCCGATTTTAGATCGAATGTTCTGCTCATTATTAGTTGAAAAATAAATTAGGTAACACTAAGTATTATTAAACAAGGGTTTTCAAGTAGTTAGTGTTTTGGAGTTTATGGAATTGATCCTCCAGTCATCATTTTGTCGGCACAGTAATGAGGAAACTGGACTCCTTGTAGTAAAATATCCGATAGCCCCTAAAAAAAACAAAAATTACCACTGACCTTTGAATATGTAGGAGAAATGTCATCAAATATCTCTAAATTGCTGCAATTGTATTTAAAAATAAGGAGAATTACTCGTCATTTGCTACATTTAACTGCTACACATAAACTGTGTATGATTACATATATCAATTATTTTTAACTCTGATTATTCAAGTTTCAATGATTTAATTATTTCGTTAAAGATCGATTACGAACGTAATCCAATACAGCATATGTTAATTTCATTGGACAATTCCTGAGTCAAATTAAATATAAATTAGCTGTTACAAAATAACTATAATTAAAATGTACTTACCGATAATGGCGGTATGCACACTGACAAAGGATGAACTATTATGTAGAAAAATGCGCAAAATCCTGCTACGAAGAATGATATAAAGAAGAGGATTAAAAGCCAGATTATCGAGTATACTACGTTGCCCATCTGAAAAGTACGTTTTTATTAAATAAATTCAAATGCGGAAACGACGGTATTTTGCAAACAACATTAAATAAACACTATTTCTGGTTATGATCAAGTCGATTACACGGGCTGACATCATTCAGCTTAATCATAAGCTTTCCACCTGCATATATATGCTTAAAAATGCATTTTTTTAAATATGCCAAACCTTACACATAGCATAGGAATTCAAAGTACCTACTTATAAAACCACGGATGACAATTTGCATACGTACTCACCGTTGCCGTTGCTTTAAATTAAGTTTCATTTTTTAATTGTTCTTATTAAATTTATTCGAGGTCGGGAAAATATTTAATTAGGAATTCTTCATGTGTTCTAATTTTTATCTGCTGTGTGATCAGTCGGTTCTCTTGCAGCTTTAATTAACTATTATGATGATTTATGAAGTTATTTTCTGATACGCCTCTGCATTTGCCTTAATTCTTCTAAACTCAGATTGATTCTGACCTCAAATAGTCAATTACATGGCATGTCTTTGAATCTGTTTTCGTCTTAATATGGTTTTATCTACTACAGGAAATAACAATTTTTTACAAATTGTATGCAATGAATAGTGCTTGTTTAAGCTTTCAATTGCATTTTTTCACTTTCAATACAGCTTAATTATCGTAAGTACCTATAACAGTGAATTTCACCAGTTTAATTTAAGTTTTACGTTTTTTTAGCTTAAATTTTTCGTTGCATATACTTAGTTTTGACTAGTTTCATGAATAGCATTCCATGGGAATAAAATTTCTTTTCTGCTTGTTGTTATGCAAGAATTTTGCAAAACTCATTTTTTATCAATATTTAATCGCGCAAAATTAGCAGATAAGAATGTCACAAGCTTAAAGTAAGTAATTAGAAATTTTCTTACATTTTATGCGCAAATTTGATTTAAATGTTATAACCGCACAGAATTAGAAAAACATTTATTTTACAATACATCAGTTTTGATAAACATAATGAGAATCAGAAGGAAAATTAGCAACTTGGCAACTCAATCGACAGTGTATTACATAATTGTTGTTTTCATGCAGTATTGACTAAGGTCGGGTTTATTGAGCATATCAATTACTTGGAAGGTCGGAGAGTGCTCAATAAACATATGTTTTTTAATTTTGTCCCGATTTCTACGTAAGAAAAATGTTGTTGTTTAAAGCAGCATCTTGTTTAAAGCAGCAAATTTAGAAGAAAATAAGTACCTAACACAAGTAGGTAGGGATTTTGTTAATTTTCAATAAAATCCATATATGTCTAAAGGTACAATAAGAAAGATGTATTAATTTTTGCAAGACACAGTTACCCTATTTTTACAAATTAGTTCTATGTAAACTGAATTTCCAAGTATAGGAATCTAGGCTTAAGTTTGCCATATATGTGGGCACGATCAGCCTAAATACCAACTTATCGACATCAATAAATCAAATTATAAATATTACATCGATCCCTGGAAATTTAAACAATAAAAATGAAAAGTAATCTCTTTGTAATTTGATAAAAATTGGGGACAATTGCCAAGAGTAATCGTTATTAATAGAGAGAATTATGAATTATGTGATAAGCAATTCTTGTTTATCAGTAGCGTATATAGAATCCACAAATTTGAGGCAAGAACTCAACGTTGCCCTTTAAAACTGTCCTAAATGCAAACAGGTAGAAATTCTTCAATTTTTAATTGAATTATAAAAAGTAGACAATCATTTACAATGTATGATTTCCTTTTTTCTAATTCTTTTAGGCAAATCATTTAAACTTGTTCTATTTACAATTTTTGGCAACTAAAAATAAAACAAAAACTCAAAAAATGCACGTGTAGGTAAAGTTTCACCTGGAATAAATAGGAATATATTAAAAATGAAAAAATTAATGAACAAAAAACTAAGACCATTGAATAATAATGAACGCCATATGACAAATAATGAGTCGCTGAGATAAAACCATTATCAAGACTAGTTTACAGCACAATTTTTCCATATTTCGAGCATCACGTCATTGACAAACATTTTGTTCATAATAAACTCCCACACTCGGCAAATGCAAAGTAAAAACTATTTCAAGCGCACTATAATTAGAAACTATCATCTACCAATGAAATTATCTGGAAAAGAACGTACCGTTTTTTGTAAGGCTGGTAACAATCAGGAAAATCCAAGGAAGCTTTCAAAAGCGGTACGACTAATGCGAACTACTAGCACTTGGGAAAACTGATAACTAACTAATGCGGGTGAATCAACGACTAGCGTACTCTCTTGTATACCGTACCTTGTCGGAGTACGACGCAATGTTTACTAAGGTATACGAACTTGTATGGAAAAGCAGCCGGTTTTTCATGACAGGAAAAGAAACTGTATAGGTGGTACTGATTAGGACACTTGACTTCGTTTACATCACTCTAGAAGCTGTAGCTTGAAAGTATGATTTCGAACGAAATAAGTTGGGAATTTTCGCAATGTTACTAGATGTTTACATTTCAAATTGTATCTGACCCTAAATAATAAATCAATCAATTTTTCCATAGATATCAGTAAATGTATTTTGGTTCCTATCAAAATATCCACATTCATAAATTCGCTGAATCATTTACGCTAGTTCTAGTACGMTGTATTTAAGTGAGATTAGATGAATGATGTCAAATTCCTTTTGAAACGTTCTACGGGTGTTTCGCATAGTTGATCAACGTCCTGCACGAGCTTATAKTGGGATCAGCGGTTGCAGAATATTTGAAATTCTTTCAAATTGAAAAATTACAAGGACTTTAATCTAAAATCCAAAAATAAGTCGATCGATCGCGCTTTACCAAACATTTTCGGAAATATTTAAATACATTATTCAAATAAACTTGGTTAAATATTGTCCTACCCAAAATGTAAATATTCCCCGAACAAATCTCCAAAATCTAAATTTAAAGCGATATATTATACAGGGCGTCATGGTGCAATGCTTCATTTTGCAGCTAGAAGGCGCCAAAGCTCAAATGAATATCGTTTTTCCAAATAAGTTTTAAACGCCTAGATCGATTTTCACTAATTTTGAGGGTTTTGGAGTAAACGTGATCCTTTTTTAATGCGTGGCAATATTTAAAATAGTGCTTGATTCGTTAATATATGTTTGCATTTTAATGACCGTCTGTACGAATAATGTAATTTTTTCTGCTACTAGCTAATTTTATTTTGAAACTTTTTTATCTCGTGTATCATTTTCGTCCGACATACTGTTTCTGCACAAAAATTATTTACAATACGTTGCAGATCATCATGCTTGTGAAAAAAATTTAACAAATCCGTTTTGGAGTTTCCAAATGTATTGTATTGTTGCTTAGAAATAATACTTGATTTAACTTAAACAAATTATTTCGTAGATTTCATAAACCGATAGTTTTCCCTGTTTTTAACTATTGAGTGAAGTTAGATAAATGGATAATGCATGGATCGGAAGAGGCATTGATGCACCCATAAATTGGCCACCAAGATCATCCGATCTAACGCCCCTTTTGTTTCTTTGGGGCTCTCTTAAATCAAAAAAGTGTATGCTTTGCCCGTCGCTCTAGAAGCCGAGTTACTAGAAAGAAATATCAAAGCTGCAGATTATTTTAAAAGCAAGCCCGACACCATGCCCAAAGTACAGTTTAATTTTTGACAAAGAATAATTTGTGCTCGGGAAAACGGTCAACATTTTGAACATTTGTTAAAATAATTAAATTAGTTCAATTATTCAGAATTAATACTTTGCCATGTTTTTTTTGCGTTCCGAATAATTGAAAATCCGAATTGCAAGGCATCGTACATAATTATTTGTACAGTAACTGTAGGTCTTGCGAACATTTTCAAGCGGTCAAAAAGATTCAATCGAAAATCAGCTAGTAGCAGATAAAAAATAACATGATCTGTACAGAGGGTAATAAAAATACGACCAATTATTAACGAATCAAGCGTATTGTTTTTATATTTCCACACATTAAGAAAAGATCACGTTTGTGCCAAAACACGTCAATTTATGTACTAATTGCTGATTTCAAAATTAGTGAAAATCGATAGGGGCGTTTATGAGTTACCTGGAAAAAACGATATCAATTTTTCATAAAAAAAGTTGACTTCCAACCCGTAAAAAATGGTTACGATAGTCTCTCATTTATGTTGAAGAAAAATACTATGTTTTCCGGTAAAAAGAAACAAAGTCATATTTGCTAGTACTTTCGATTTTTAAATTTTATAAAATAAAATTTACATTATTTCCTTAACACCTAATAAGGATGATTAAAACAAATAAAAAAACATGTATTCACCTAAATCTATAACTAGTCAATTCGTAAAAACACAAACTCAATTTGAAAACTTAACGGTAAGTTAATTAATCAGAAGAAATTTATTCGATTATTTATAATGCAAAACAAATAGTATCTAAAAATATTTTTCTATCAATTATACCTTCAGGTTTTTAGGAAAAAATGTTTAAATACAATAAACACGTAAATTTTCACTGGCGCTGACTCTAGGATCGTGCAACTTTTCCATTCTCTTTTGACATTTTATACAAAGTGGAGCTCAGATTCCAAATATCTGAACTAAACGAAAAACGCGTTTTTACGATTTTACGAACACGAAATTAGATAAGCTACGTGGAAGAACGCGCATTTTAACTGCAGGCAGTTGACTCAAAACCAAGTCAGATTACAAACTTAATGGTCAAGAAATAAACTACTGAGTAAATATCAATTTTCTGAATTATTCATCAATTTTTTTTCTCTCTTTGATTTTGGCCATAAAAAACTGCTTATTTTCTATTCATTTTTTTTCTGGTTAAAATTGGACGCGCATTTCCCTTCCTCTGTATTTTTCCGATGGGAGAAACCTATGCGATGATATTCTCGGAATAATTTCAGAATCTATTTACATCACGTCATTCATTTGATTTCCTTTTGGATTTGTTACA